AGAGAGAGAAAGAGAGAGAGAGAGAGAGAGAGAGAGAGAGAGAGAGAGATGAGAGAGAGAATTTCAAATTGGGCTATGGTGTGTGGAGATTTGAAACTGAGTTATATTATACAGAGTAGATAGTTCAGATATTATGAACAATGGAAACCAGAATGCAAAATCAGTGGGAAGAACATTATAGACAGCAAGTACATTAAGCTCAAAGACTTTAATTAGGGGAAAACATTTGTATTTGAAAAACAGAATAAATTCAGAGTGCCTAAAAAATTGTGGCCAATGTGAGAAATAATGTTAGTGAAGGTTGAAAAAAAAAAAAGCAGGAGACTTTATTTACATTCCTTTTTTTAAGCCAAAGTAACTACTAAGTTTTTTGAAATCATGGGAAAGATTTAATCAGAAGAAAAACTTAATAAATTGTTTTATTAGAAAGATCACTATGGCTGCATACAGAGAATGAATTTCAGGGCTGCAGTATTAGAAGCAGGGGAAATATTAAGAAACCTATATCTATATGAAAGAAAATAGACCTATACCATATGAAATAAAATAGTTGGTTGATTTGCTAGTGTTAGGGAATTTGATTACCCATAAACAAATTAAGTATGCATTTTGAAGTTAGACTCTATAGAACAAATTTATGAAATTTTTGATTTGAGAAAGTTGCTACATAACAAAACACACACATTTGTAGGCAGTATCTAATAATGATAAAAAGCATAACACAACCTTTAGGGCTAGAATGCTTGGTTTTGAATCTAGTTTCCACTGCTTATCACATGTGGGGCCTAGGGCAGGTTATTTAACAACTCTGTGTCACAATTTTTGCATTCATAAGGAGAAAAAGAGAAGGGAAGGGAAAGAGAAGGAAAAAACTGCAAACTATCAGAGATTAAGTGATTTTTAGAACAGTGCTGACACATAGGAAACACTTGGTAATTGTATTGAAATATGTTCTCGCATGTGTATTTAACAAGATGAGAATGACTGGAAAAAGGGGCCATTTTATTAAAAAATTCTATTTTTGCCATTTTTAAAATTTAAAATGCATTGGAGCTTCATGTGAATATGTGAAAGAGGTACTTGTATTTTCTAGTCTTTAAATCTGGGGAAGATCACACCATGAGGGTGTGTCCAGGAGGTTGTACAAAAAAGGTATTTAAAGAGAACTGTTGCGCTTTGTGAACGCTACAGGAAGTGAAGTAATGGAAGAACGGATATATTGGGATGAACTAGGAAGGTCATCTATCTAGAGAATAGTCACAGGGAACCATGGGGGCAAAATACTAAGAGGGTCGATTGACAAGGGAGTGAGGGGTGAAGAACTGGCAGTCAGTAATCAAAAGTAATGCTTTCAAAAAGTTAAAAACTGTGTGGACGGGGCTCAGTGGCTCACCCTGTAATCCCAACACTTTGGAAGGCCAAGGGGAGAGGATTGCCTGAGCAACCTGGGCAACTTGGTGAGACCTCTTCTCTACAATAAATCACAAAAACTAGCTGGGCGTGGTGGCTGTGTGTCTGCAGTTTCTGCTACTTGGAAGGCTGAAGTGGAAAGATTGCCTAAGCCCAGCAGGTCGAGGTTGCAGTGGTTGTGAGCATGCCACTGCACTCCTCCAGCCTGGACAACAAGAGTGAGACTCCAACTAAAAAAAAAAAAAAAAAGTTAAACTGTGAAAAGAAGCAAAGAAATTGGATAATAATGAAGAGTTTTAAGTGGTCAAGCAAGAATTGTGTGTTTTGAAAATAGTAGTAATAGAGTAAATTGGTGCACTAAAAGGGCATAAACAATTAGAGAAAGAGAGACTAATGAAGCAGGAGAGAAAGGAAAAAATTAGAGAAATACGTTTTTTGAGAAGGACCCATAGACTGAAATCCAGAGCTAAATAGGGTGTGAGGAGCTGTCCTTTGACAAAGTATTTTGTAACTACTATCTGGAAGAAAGACATAGAGTGTCACTGAGTATATGGTAAGATGGACATTTTGGAAATAGAAAAAGTATAAAACTAAGTAAGAGGAAAGGTGAGAATAAACAGACCTTGAAAATTTGTGTATTTTTCACCAGAAATTTTTGGCTACAGGGCACAGAGGTAGTATATATTTGAGTTTAATCAGAACTGGAGCTTTGAAAGAAAAAATAATAACATACATTGAAGGGAGGGAAATGCAGGAGAGCAAGAGAAGATATGATATAATACAGTTATATGACATAATGCAGTCTCTAAACTGGATCGTGAGGAAATCAGACAAGCTTAAGTAAGTGAACAAGATTTGGATTCAAGGTTTCCATGGATTCAAGGTTTCAAGAAATTTTTGTGATGGGAATTTAAAACAAGGTGGATTGGTAGGAAAGAAGGTGGGAAGGGATATGGTAGGATACATAAAGGGCAATTGTTGGTAATATTAGGCTCATGATATGTTTATTCTCTCATGAAATAAAAAGAAATACAAGCAAGAAAATAAAGACAGAAAAATATTGTAATGTTTAGACCCTTTTTTCAAATAAAAAACCTATATTAAATGAAAACCACGCATTACCCTACTATCCTTTATCAAGATTTACAATGCTCATGATAAATGGATCCAAAACCTAACAATGAAAATTTTGTTCATAGCAAAGATAAAATTTTAAAAATGCTACATCTGTGTGTGGGGGAGGGAACATCAACTTAAATAATGCATATTAGTTCTTCTGCCATTCTTCTCTTAATTCCACTGCTTCTGTTACCCTTTTGTGTTCTCCATTTCCCTGCTTAAATTATTTTTAACTCAATTTAACTGATTTCAAGTGTGGATACACTAGGGCAGATTGCACTCGAAAGGCTAGGAGCCACAAAGTAGGAACTATACATAACAGGAAAAACACAAGATTATGAGTAAGATGGAGATTAGAGTTTTGTTGAAGATGAAAGTCAACACAGATGGTCCACTTAAATTATTACTCAAATTTGAATTGAAAAATACCAAACTGCCAAGTAGAGTGTGTTTTTTGAATATTATGTTTTCTGACATTTCTTTACTTCTCTTTCTTCTTTTTTCTTTAATTGCATTTGATTTAACTTAACTTTATTTTTTTCTTAAGTTGGGAAAAGCTCTCCAAAAATAGGGTAATATATGCCTGGTTTGGGAAATAGTCAAATGAAATTCTTTAACATTCTCCCTGTCTGTCGGTCTGTGTATCTGTCTCTCTTGCAGACACAGACACACACACACACACACACACACACACCCTATTTTCGTATAAAAAAGAAACATACAAAGTCAAGATTTTCCTGGTAACATATGTTCCTAGTTCCATAGCTTCATCTCATGAAGGGAAAAACAAAAACAAAAACCCCTGCACAACCCAGTCATTTGAAAAATCCTGTCCCAGTTATCCTGAGTATGATATTTTAAAAAAATTTTAAAGTAAAAAGTTGAGAGTTCAATGCATTGATCAATAGTTTTACAAAACCCTTTAATAATCATTTTGTTTGGATAATTTTGGTATCTCTGGTTTAACATAGGAGGTGTAATTAAAAATTTAAATTGAATAATATCAATATCACTAATATTAGAGAACAGGGGCTATAACTTCTACCACCTTACAACACATCCACGGCTCAAAATCTTACCTTTCTTCCCAAATTTGTCAAGTACCTGGATATGTTCTGTCTTACAGGAGTCCTGGAACTTAAGATCTGCGTAAGTAATCTCTTCAGACATTGAAGAATATGCAAATAAAACTCAACAAAGTATTTTAAAAAGGTAAGGACAAGCTAACAGAGAGAAAAATATTAAGCAGGATCTATGATTTTAAACTTCTGTTTATAAACTGAATCTTAAGTTTACAAGCTTAAACCTCTGCTTATATAATACTGTACCAATCAGATAAGCTGCAGCTGGTCTGCAGCTTCAGACAAGAACAGAGAGGTGCTGCAAGAGGAAACATCTTCCTTCCTCATATTTCTTCCTTTTTCTCATTTCCGTATAATTACCAACTATAGAAAGTAGTTTTGAAATTGTGATTGGCTAATATTATTAGAATCTGGCCAAATAGCACCACATGGTGCAGATTTAGCACAGAATTTATGGGCGAAAAACGGCCAAGCACAGAAATAACAGCGTGCAGTTCTCAAACACTCACTAATCCACAGCAGTGGCCTCGCATAGATGTTCTCTATGTATCCTGATGAAGGTCCTGATAGAGGGGCTGCTTTAGCCAGGAGACTGAATGTGCGGAGAGCATTCCCAAAGAGAGTGAGAGAGTAAACACAATTTCTTCACCCTCTTGTTTTGATATAGGTTGACTCAAGAGGAGCTAGGGAACACCTAACTTCTTTAAGTAACAAGATATAGATCTGTGGCCTAGGAAACGCACCAGGGACTATGTATGCTAATGGGTAATATCTGTACACCCAGAATTCTGGGAACAGCTTTTGAAAACAAATATCAGCCTTGCTTTCTCTCTACAGACTGGCTCAACCCATTTGAGTCAGTTCTCAGCTAAGCTACCAAAAGTGGGGAGAAAATAAGTCTCCAAGGTCTTCCAGATTTGTGAATTATCAATTTGACTTGATATTGTTAGCGTTCTTGATTTCATTTCTTGGTCAAGTATGCAAGTAGAGGTGAGAGGTGGTGAAGAACTCTTTTTGAGTAAGTTTTTCCCTAATTTTCATTAATAACTTACTTTAAAGTTATTAGCATTAACACATATGAATAATATAAAATAGATAGGTTTTTTTACTACAAAAAAGAATGTATAAAGATTTTTTAATTCAATAACAAACTAATGTGGTAGGATAGATAACAAAAATAAAATAAAAGAGGTCCTCTTTTATTTTATTTTTACTAAAGAGCTACTAAAAAAACACAAAAAAATCACAGATGCAAATTAACTAAACATGTGCATAACCAAAATAAAAAAAATCTTTAAAACTATTAAAGAAAAGAAAAAAATTAAAATAGGAAAACATATTGTGGATTAGAAACATCAATACTATAAAAAATTAATTCTCCTAAATTTATCAATTGGTTATATATATGTCTATTTTATTAAAATACTAATAGATTATTTTCTCTAATATTTTTTAAAGACTATTGAAATTCAAGGGAATATTGCCAGAGAGAATTAATGGAAAATATATTCAAAACATATAATTGTTATTTCATCATGAGTACTTTACTAATGCTTGTTTCAACTTTACAACACTATTACTATTACCTATGTTGTATAGATGGGGAAGTGACCTGCAAAGTGGCTAAGCTTTTATTCAACATCACATGACTGTTAAGTGGTGGTGTTGAAACTTGACCAAAGACTGCCATCACCTAGCAACCTAACCAAAATGCCTAGCCACAGATTATAATGGCATTCCTGGTGAAAAAGACTAGTCCTCTGTTCCTTCTAGGTGGATCAAACATTTCTATATAAATAATGAAAACATTAACATTTTAGAGGAAAACACACATCTGTAAATTTATTTATAATAATCTTTGAATAAGGAAGATTTTTTTTAAATTATAAAATATAATTTATTAGAAAGTTAAACAAGAGAGAGAGAGGAGATTCACCTCCCCAAAGTAGGGAAGAGGTCCAAAGCCAGGAAGCATGGTGACAGCTGTCACTCCAAGAGCACATGGCCACACCAGAGTCTAGAAAGGCAATGGCCAATCTTTTTAAATAAGACAGGCAAAGTCATTAAAAAGATTCAAGCAACTCAAGGTATAAGTATTAAATCCATTTATATGGCAAAATACAATAAAGTATAAATACCAAATGGGAAAGTGAAAAAATTGTTAAGTATACATATATAAGTTATATATATCAGAAAGGATGAGGGGCAAATTTTATACATTTATAAAAAGATTATGCAAACTAATAAGAAAATGATGAATATTAATAGAAAAATTGGCATTAATCAATAACAGACTTTTTTCCTTTTTTGAAAGAAGTTATTTTGTAATAATTTAATTTTTTTAGCAGATGAAAAAAATATGAGAGACAGAAACTTTTACCTTTTATTTTGTATTATTTTGCAGTTCTTTTACATTTATGACTCCTTTCCTTTCTTCTTATCTTTCTTTCTTTCTTCTGTTCTTTCTTCTTTTCTTTCCATTTCTATCTGCCTGGTAAATCTCCATATTCTAAGAGAAAAAAATAAGAATTTAAGAATATATTTTAAAGTCAATAGAAATAATCTAATTTAGCATCCCAGGATCTAGCAAGACTTGGTTAAATATACATTGAGAGAATAAACAACAAATAAATTAAAGTACCTCTTTGTGGGAGGGAGGGAACTAGCCACTACAGAGGCAAAGCCATGTTCTCCATCTTATTACACCGTTGTCTCACATGAAAACTTGCTTATTAAACATCTCTATGAAATAAAGAGTATGCAATACATTGATGGAGCAAGAAATGAAAAACTAAAAAGTTATGTTACAATGTATTCTTAGTTCATAAAAATATTTGAATAAACAAAACTACATACAAAGTATTTGGTTTAGGGCTGGCTAAAATATTTATAGTCACATGAACAAGTTAATATCTGAGAGTATTTCATGGTTTGTACTTCACAGCCTATGTCAGTCTTTAAAATAACTTTATGGACAAATACTAGTTGTCTATATTTTAGGAGTGATGTGATATCTTGATGCCTATATACAATGTGTAATGATCAAATCAGGGTAATTAGATATCCACTGTCTCATACAATTATCTTTTCTTTGTGTTAGCAATATTACAATTCTTCTTTTTTTCACTTTTAAACTTTTTTATCTTAAAATTATGAGGTACAAATTAGGGTTAGGTATATAGATATTCATTGTGCAGTTACCCAGTTTGATGAGACATGCCCCCCTCCCCAGGCAGATTTGACTACTGTCAATCCTACCTCCCCACCTCCCCTCCTCCCCGCAGTTTTCCACTATTGTCAATCCTTTTCTTTCTTTTTTTTTTAACCTTTAAATTTTTTATTTTAAAATTGTGGGTTACAATTCAGGATTAGGTATACAAATATTCATTGTGCAGCTACCCTTGTTGATGAGATGTGCCCCCGCTTCCCCAAGCAGTTTCCCATTACTGCCAATCCCACCTCCCCACAGTCCCACGCCCCTACAGTTTCCCACTATTGTTAATGCTTTTTCGATAGTATTGTGATAGTTGTTCAAGGTCCACTTATGAGTGAGAACATGTGATACTCAGTTCTTTGTTTCTGTGAAAGATCACGCAGTATTATAGACTCTAAGTCCATCTAAGTTGCTGCGAAGTTCATGACTTTGTTCTTCTTTATGGCTGCATAATATTCCATTGTGTATATGAACCACATTTTTTTATCCAGTCCTCTTTTGATGGGTAGCATGATTGGTTCCATGTTCTTGCTATTGTGAAGAATGCTGCAATACACATATGTGTGCAAGTATCTTTTTTATAGAGTGATTTGAGTTCTTCCTGGTATATTCCCAGTAGGGTGATTGCAGGGTCATATGGAAGATTGATTTTTTAGAACTTTTAGGAATCGCCACACTGATTTCTACAGAGGCTGTACTAGTTTACACTCCCATCAACAGTGTAAAAGTGTTCCCTTTTCACCACATTCTCTCCAGCATCTGTTATTTTTTGAGTTATTGATGATGGCCATTCTGACTGGAGTTAGGTGGTATCTCAGTGTCGTTTTAATTTGTGAGGCTGAACATTTTTTCATGTATCTGTTGGATGCTTATATGTCTGCTTTTGAGAAGTGTCTTTTCATATCTTTTGTCCACTTTGTAATGGGGCTGTTTGTTTTTTTCTTTTCAGCACATTTGAGTTCCTTGTTTAGGTCTCTGATCCATTTAGAGTTTATTTTTGTGTATGGGGATAGGTAGGGGTCCTGATTCAATCTTCTGCATGTGGTCAGTCAGTGTTCCGAGCACCATTAACTGAATAGGCTCTCCTCTCCCCAGCAGTGGGTGTTAGAGGCTTTGTTAAAGATAAGTTGGTTGAGAAATTGAGGTTTTACTTCTGGAATCTCAATTCTATTCCATTGATCTATATGCCTGTTCTTGTACCAATATCAGGCTGTTTTGATTATTGGAGCTTTATAATAAAGTTTAAAGTGTGGGAGTGTGATACCTCCTGCTTTGTTTTGTTATTATTATTTTTTTTTCTGAGGGTTGTTTTGGTAATTCTTGGTCATCTATGTTTCCATATGCATTTCTTTAATGCTGTTTCTAGGTCTGAGAAGAATGTTGCTGGTAATTTGATGGGTATTGCATTAAATCTGTAGATTGCCTTAGGTAGAATGGACATCTTAATAATGTTGATTTTTCCAATCCGTGAGCATGGAATATTGTTCCACTTGTTTGTGTCGTCTTTGATTTCTTTGAGCAGTGTTTTGTAGTTTTCATTGTAAAAGTCTTTCACATCTCTGGTTAGGAAGATGCCAAGGTATTTAATTTTTTCTGTGTGTGTGTGGCTATTGAGAATGGAATTGCGCTTTTTATTTGGGCTTCTGTTTGTTTATTATTGGTGTATAGAAATTCAATTGTCTTTTGCACATTTATTTTATACCTTGAGACTTTGCCAAAGTCCTTTATCAGTGCAAGGAGATTTTTGACAGATTCTCTTGGTTTTCCAGGTATAGAATCATGTCATCTGCAAAGAGAGATAGCTTGACCTCCACTTTTCCTATTTGGATACCCCGATCACCTTCTCTTCTCTAGTTACTCTAGATAGGACTTCCAAA